GGAGGTTGTCAGAGGCAGGAGTGGCAGGTGGGAGAAATGGATGAACTGTTTTTGTTTTTGTTTTTAAATTAAATAAATTGAATAATAATAAAAAGGAGAACATAACAGAATTGTTGTATTTTATACTTTAAAAGGGTGTTAGTAGTGGCTATTATCAAAAAGGAGATAGTGTTGCTGAGAATGAAGAAAAGGGAGCTCTTGTGCACTATTTGTGTAAATGTAAATGTAAACTGCATTTATGTAAGTGTAAATGTAAATGCAGCCACTATAGAAAACAGGTTCATCCAAAAATTAAAAGAACTATCAAATGATCCAGCAATTCCACTTTTAGGTATATATCAAAAGGAAAAAAAAAATCACTATCTCAAAAAGATATCTGCATCCCTACATTCACTACAGCAGGATTTACAATAGCTAAAACATAAAAACAACCTAAGTGTCCAATGATGGATGAACAGATAAAAAAATGTGGTACTTACAGACAATGGAATATTAATAGCCATAAAAATGAAATAAATGATGCTATTTGTGACAGCATGGAGGGACCTTGAAGGTATTAAGCCTAGTGAAGTGAGACAGAGAAAGACAAATACTGAATTATTTAATTTATATGAATTTAAAAAACTGAATTCATAGATACAGAAAACAGACTGATGGTTGCCAAAGGGGGAGGTTGGTGATATGAGGGAAAGGGACAAGAGGGTGCAAATTTCTAGTTATAAGATAAACTAAGTCCTGGAGATGTAATGTACAGCATGGTGACTATAATTAACAATACTGTATCATATATTTGAAAGTTGCTTATAGAGTAGATATTAAAAGTTCTCATGAGAAAAAAATGTAACTATGTGAGGTGATGGATGTTAACTGAACTTATTGTGGCAATCATTTGGCAGTAAATACAATATATCAAAACATTATGCTGTATACCTAATTCAAATACAATGTTGTATGTCAGTTATCTCTGAATGAAACAAGTATGGGGTGTTGCTATGTAGAGAAAGAACTCTGGTTTAAATAAATATCAGGAGAATAGTTTAAATGTAGCCAAAGTTAATTAAAGACATACATTTACAAATCTGTCCTTCATGGCATACTCCAACTCTTTTATTACCTCTCTATTAAGACCATCTTTCATTGTATGTACAATAAAATTATTATTTTTTCTTCATATCTACCTAGAGTGCCTCCTCACAATGTCATTATAACGTTGTTCTTGTTGTTTCTTCAATATTAAATATCAGAAGGCTAGGACCAATGCACAATTAATCTGGGAGGTAACTAACTTCCTAAAGTACTTTTTTATCCATAGCATCTCATCTTCTATAAGACATCTAAAATAAGAGAATTAAAAAGAAACACATATTTTGATATATAAAGGAAACAATCATATTATCTGGCAATTTGCCACTCTTATAATACTAGAAAGTCAATGTTCAATAAATATTCATTGAATGCCTATTACTGTGTTTTGCCATGTGTAATGTGCACTTTTTAGCCCAAATTTTTGAGGAAAAATGAGGATGTGCAATATACATGGGTATAATGATTACATACCATGGCTATAATAATGGGCATAATAATCCCACAAACAACACGCACAAAAATGTGGGTGCACATTATACATGGCAAAATATGCAGTATTTACCAGAGAACACTTAAAGTGACCTTTACTGTCACTTTGTACTGCTCCTTGTGAGGTAAGAATAATAAAGTAGATTTCCAGACAAAGAATATTTCAAGAAACAGAGGGATATTTCATAACGAAGAGAAGGTCAATTTATCAGTAGTACATAATAATCATAAACGGGTATGCAAATAATAACAGCTTTAAAATACACAAAGAGAAAATTGACAGAATTCAAAACACACGCAGAAAAATTTCAATTATACTTGAAGATTAACACTCCTCTCTCAGCAATTAACAGATTGGACCCCTCCACCCGAACCACAAAATTTTTTAGTAAAGTCATGGAAGACCTGAACTCTGTCAAGCATCTGGACCTTACTGATATTTATAGAACGCTATATGCAATAACTAAAGAATACCATTCCCTTCAAGAGGACATGGTATGTTTGCCAAGATGGACCATGCACAACTAAAATATAATCCTGTTCATGTTCATGTATGTGGGGGAGGCGCTTCCTGCTAAGGCATGCTGAGAAGTTTGTATGTTCTGTTAAAATAGACGAGGTAGGTTCACTTAGAAGAGGAGCCTGGAGAACAACATTCAACTATTGCCTGGACCCACATGCTTCATGATGACAAATACCTACCACTGTAGAACATGGAATGGGTAAAGAGAATTAGCACACCAGTTCTCTCAGCTTTAGCTTTGCCTGGCACGCAACATCCTATCTAGCCCATCAAGCTTTCTGATTGGTACTGTGTATTTCATGTTCTTACACATCCTCAGGATAAAGACATTTGGAAAGCTTCCCACCTTCACAGTATATGCCCCTTTTCACAACTTACCTCGTCATCCTTCTTGGCTGTGTTTGCTAGTGAGAGGTCTACACATGTCCCATCATTTTAAGAAGTATAACACCAAGACAGACTTTTCAAGGAGAACTGACTTGAAAAGAGTGAGATCACTAATAAGCATGGGCAGTGAATCCAGGGAGTGCAAGGGCACCAATACGTGTGAACTTATTAATCATAATTATTATTTTTTCCTAAGAAAAGGATTTCCTTAGTCAAACCTCCAGGGCATCAGATCAAAGGGAGATATTGCCACAGCTGGACTATGTTTTCCAGCCAATTGGCCTGGAAAGGAGAATCTAGACAGTGTCCTGGCAACTGTTTAACACAGCAGCAATCTGTAACTGACAGGGAAAGAATTCTTTAGGCTGACTTTTAAAAAAGTTTTCCTTTACTTCTCCTTATTTTTGAGTACAGTTTGAGAGTGATGTCAAAGTCCTAGGGGATATCCTTGGTAGGCACTCTAGAAGAATTAATGACCTTGAGATTTCAGACCATTCCTCTACAAATAGAAACAAAAGGTTTTAGTTCACAGTGCAGGTTGCTTTTTAAAAAAAGATTACATATTTGTATTTAATTATCATAAAAAGTATATCCCAAATTTACCGGCAGAGTACTTGGCCAATTTTCTATTTCCAGTTTCATGTAGGTCTCTCCAAACCTTACCAGGACACTGTAAAATCACACTAGATAGGATACTTCGTTAATAAAATCAAAACAGGAGAAATTTAGTTATGTGCCCTGGAAGTTCTCCCAAAATGTATTTAAAAATTATAAAAGTGACTATTAACATACAATGAGGAAAAAAAGCCACAAAACCCAAACCCTACTATGTCAGAAGCATAGCAAGACACACAGGAATCATGTGAAAATGAGAAACCAGACAGCACACAAAAAGATTTTATGAATTACAGAAAAACAAGATGTGAGAATGATTGTATAAAAAAAGAAAATGAGAGCAAACAAGCAAAAAAACATTTCTATAGTTAAGGAAAGCTGTTTCTCACCGTTCTGAACAAAATGGCTGAACTAAGATCATCTGATTGGCTATGCCCATATACCCTCCTCCTCATCCTATGGGGCAGGAGATGACAAAGGGAACAGTGCCCCAGAGCAGCATGGGAATGAAAAAGAATTGGTTAGTATTTAAAACAAAGACATAAGCATAAGTAGTAGGAGAAAATGGTCTCTAATTGCTTGCCTCTTTTTATATTAGATTCTAATTCCCGAAACTACCAAAATTAGTAATTAGTTTGTCCTTACACTTCCGTGCTTCCTATGTTTCCAAGATGCTGTCTCTGTCCCAGGGCTTATCTGGGCAAAATTATCAAGTTGGAGACTTTATTATTTGCCTTTTCTTTAGCCTTTCTCCATTTCTGTTTGCCTCCCACTAATACCCAGCATCCAACTTGTAGTTATTATCAAAACTTGTTTCAAGGAAAAGATCTAATACCCATATTGTATACACTGGCATAAATTTAATCCTAGGTATCCAGAAGCACGTGGAGAAAGCAAAATGACTTCTTGGGAGAAAAAGACTACTGACCTCAGGCAGAGAGCTCTCTATTTTGCATACACTAATGACTGGTTTGCCTAAGGTTTAGTAAAGGTCATCACACTCTGACTATACCTTCTGAATTTTAGAAAAGGAATTGCAGTTTAGATATTATTGCTGCTTTCATCTGTAATAATTCTTCTTCTCTTAACATCATGGCTCTATCATTTAGTGGAGATGTTTAGTGAGGGAGTTTCCCTTGACTTTTTGATCATATGGATGTAATTATTAAACTATTATTTTCCCCCCTCAGCTATACATTTTAAGATTGAGTGTGATGAAGATGTTGAAATCTGATTTTGGCAATGGGATATGAGGTAATCTGTTCACCACTCTCTCCCATCCATCATTTTCAACATCTTGAGAGTTCCCTTCTTTTAAAAAACTACAGTTGTATATGGTTCCCTTCAGACTCATCAATGCCTCTTTTGCATTGATGAGAAGTTGAAGGCAACAATTTTCCTTCAGAATGACATATACTGGAGGGATCCACCAAGGAAATGGAGTAAAGAAACTGTGTTTCAATTTTCATGTTTAATAGGTGATGAGCAGAGACTTTAAAATCTGCAATTACAGAATAGTTACCTCTACACAGTGTTGTGCCTCACTGAGCTCACAAGACTCTTATTTTTCTAATAAGGCATTATTTCTTTACTAAAAAAAGCAGGACAGTTACAAATTAGTATGCATCTCTGAAAAGATCAAGAATTTTTTTTTTCTCAACCTAATTCAAGAATTACCGTCCTCAAATCTCTTGAATACCTCCTCTTAAAACATCCAGAATAATCCACCACCTTCCTATACAGAAATTGAATTTGTGTTTTAAAAAATGTGAAGGAATTTTCAGAAACTGATTATTTTTATTTTTCTAACTTATGCCCAAGACTCCATAGCATTACAGTACACAATATATCAAAATTAAAGCATATTGGTTTTTTATAACACATTCAAGAGCAGACTTACCTGGTCTGGGGAGGGTTTATGATTGCTTTGATTGGAATGGGCAGATTTGAAGTGGTCATCCTCATAGTTGTCGGCCATTAGTTTCATTCGATTTTGCGTCTAAGAGGAAATGATCCATAAGGTTAAACTTAGATTAAAGTTCTATGACACTGCAAAGTAACGAATGTCTTAAGAAAGGATAAAACTAATCTTGTTTGAAATAAAATAAACAGGATTTCTGAGGATATTGGAAAAAAAGTGTTTAGACACAGTTATGGACTGAACTGTGTCCCCTCAAAATTCATTTTGGAGCGCTGGTCTCAATGTGACCATATATGGAGATAGTCTTTTGAAGATATTTAAGGTTAAATGAGATCACGGGCAGGGAGAGGGGTGGTTCTTAATCGGATAGGACTGTGGCCTTGTAAGCAGAGAGCTATCCCTCCCCTCCTTTTCTCTCTGCCCTGTGTAGACATAGTGAGAAGGCGTCTTCTCCAAGCCCAGAAGAGCGCTCTCTTCAGGAACTGATTCAGCTGGCACCCTGACCTTGGATTTCCTAGCCTCCAGAATTGTGAGAAAATAAATTTCTGTTGTGTAAGCCACCAACTCTATGGTATTTTGTTATGGCAGCCTGAGCAAACTAAGACAGGCACCTAAATTGGTACAGAAATTTAAGTGGGGAGAAGGAATAACCTTAAAGTCAGCACTTTAAGCACTACTTGTTTTTTTTTGTTTGTTTGTTTGTTTTTTTTTAAATAAAGACTGGATTACACTATACATAGGAGAGGACTTTGTCATTATTTTTTCACTTCATGATATACAAACCCATCTTTCCATGTTACTGTAAGAACTACTCATCCTTTTTAACAACTATTCCATTTTGGGGGGGAAGTTATGTAACACACAGACCATAAATATTAAGAAAAAAGTTATTAACTGTAAATGAAATGATTATATACCTAGAAAATCTTAGAAAATCAAGTGAGAAACTACTACAATGTATAATAAAGTTCAGTAATGTGATCATGTAACAGTGGGGAATTATAGCAGTAGAAAACTGTAACCTACCCCACCATTTTTGGCATTGTTTCTGTAAATGCTGACTCTAACATGTAGCTTATAGATGGACAGCATGTTTGTATAAGAATCCTAGGAACTAACTTCAAAATATACAGACTCCAACTTCAGGCACCCCAGCTCTGGGAGCTTTGCTGACCTTCAAACTTATGGCCAGGATGACAGGAAGTCAGGATAACTAAACCAGGGTAACGCACACCGGACCACCACTCCCCTTACCGGTATCTCATCTGCACACAGAGAACTTTTCAACCCCTTCTCTTGATCTCTCTGTCCTGTTCCCCTCTCCCATCTTATGAAAACCTTTGCCTCCACTCAGAAAGGTGGAGATGGGCTTAGAGATGATGGTACCCCGTCTTCCAGGCTGCTGGCGCCTGAATAAACAATGTTGCATTACACCAAAACCTGCCTCTTGAGTACTGGCTTTCAAAGTGGCAGGCAGCTGGACTTGCACTTGGTTACAATCAGACAGAAACTACGTGTAAAATATTCAATATCTTTTTTTAAACCATAAATATACAATTCGGGTTTTGAAAGTTAGTCAGAGATTCTGAAATCCTCTTCTTCAACCTGCGACTTGGAGAGAATTGTTACCATTACTTTCTCTTCTCAATGTTTGCCAAAAAAGGAGGACTAAATTGGTGATTCTATGTGACTGGTTAACTTAAGGCCTGAATACATGAAATGCACACACACACACGACCCCCCCAAAATCCTGGAATTTATTTATAAAAAATTGTGTATTAACGTGTTTAAACTTTGGTCACCTTCAAAGTATTCTCCATTTGATGCAATATACCTATCGAGACTTTTTTCCATCACTCAAAACAGTTTTTGAACTTGTTGATTTTGATGCCTTTTAGTGCTTCTGCCATTTTTTGTTTCATCTTTTTCACACTGGCAAAGCGTTTCCCTTTGAGGACTTTTTTTCATTGGGGAAACAAACAAAAAATGTCGCTTGGGGTAAGACTGGGTATATAGGAAGGGTGGGGCACAGGAGCCATGCCCTTTTTAGTCAAAACCTGCTGAATACTCAGTGGTGGTGTGGGTAGGAGTGCTCGTAAGTCACCCATCATGAAATGTGCAAATGTGTTGAGTCTTCCAAAAAATTTACTGAAGTGGGACACAGCCTCTCATAACAATCCCAACTGGTACACTAATACAATTGGGTTCTTAGAACACTCACTAGCAGGGAAGCCTGTATTACAAGGGGCTGCCCTCCAGAAGATAATTCTGTTTTTTGGGGTTCCCCTTCATATATTTTATATATTATAAATTAATATTTTATATATACATTCATATAACATTTTGGAAAATTCACTTTGCACAGCAAGCAATTCAGAAAATGCAGGATACACCACACATAAAAATCAAACAGCAAGATACAACATATATTGCATTAATAAAATATTGCTATAAGCTGAAGTTTTAAAAGCATTAAAAATAAACTTGCTAATATCATATGATTTAAAGGTTTCACTGTAGATAACCTGAAAAATAAAAATAAATCGCATGTAAATTCCTCTACTCAGTGACAATCATTGTTAATATTTAGGAGTGGCCATTCAGCCTCTTCCTATGAACATAAAAAGTGACATGCTTTTCTAGTTTATTCTATTTCTCCTACAATATAGTGATTTTAAAGTTACTATATCTTACAGTATATTTTGGTATCTGGTAGGACACGCTCTCCTTCCCCTCCACTAATTCTGCTTTAAATAAGATTTGGTACCCTCTATACATTTGCTTTACTAGATGAATTAAAAACATTTTGTCTAGTTCCATAGGAAACTTTACAGAGATTTCTCTCTGGTATTTTTTCATGTAATGATGCTTGTGTAAAAGCTTTAGAGCAAAATTGCCCAGATCTGAATTCTAGTTCTGCCTATCACCAGCTATTTAAGTTTGGACACCCTATTTAAATGCTGTGAGCTTCAGTATTCTCACCTTTAAAATGGGCATAACAACACTTTCTCCCCACAAGACCATTGTGAGGGTTAACCAATTAACCTAACACAAGAATTTAGAAAGCTACCTGGCAAAAAACAACACCCAACAAATTTTAGCTATCACCGTCATTAAAAACATTTTTGATGTTATTAAATATTATTCTAAAATATAATTTTAACTGGCTGCACAGTATTCAATTGAATGGATGTTTAATGAGTCCCATAGTGTTGGGTATTTAGTTCTTCATATTTTCACCTAATAATATATGCACATTTCTATGCCAGCTCTTCCCTCTACTATAAAATTAAAGCAAAGAAAATATGTATTAAAAATTATCTGTGATAGCAAATTTGTCTTCTGAGATAACTTACAGTGACCTTGAAAATATAAAGGATAATTTTTCTTACGTCTTGTGGTATTGTGTGACACATGGAAAGTCTTCTGCTAAGTAGCTCTTGGAAAAGGAGGAAGGAGAAAGGAAAGGGCAAAGCACTGTAACCAGAAAGTGAGCAAAACATCTGCATGTCACTCATTTGGTTAGGGAACTTTTCCATGTCAACTCTGATAAGAATGTGAAATGAGAGGATACTTGGCTAGTTATTTTCTTAGAACATGATGCACTTAATCTTTAATACCTGATAACTAGTGTAAGTTAAAAAAAACTTAAGAACTAATAAAGCACACACAAATTCCCCCTTTAAAGGCAGAATGCATTTTGAGTATTTCTTAGGAATGAATGTAAAAGCCTCCCAAAGAAATTGATCACATTAGACAGATAAGATCAAAGACTGCTCATCTGATCCATGTAAGAGAATGAAGAAATAATCATAAGAACTCCATTTTGAAAAGACACGAAGATTATCAGGTTTGGTGTTCCTAGGTCTGGTATTCAGGTATTCAGAAATTTTGTGTGAAGCCGGTTCTCTGTATAGTCATCAGGATTGAACACTAAATATCTGATGACTCACAGAGCCTTAGTATTACATTGTATACATGACTCTGCTCTTAAGGAGATCTTGTACTATGCTCTTATTAAGATAAGGTCAACAAAACAAGCAAAAAGGGATAATAAGTCCTTCATGTTTTTACTGATATGAAAGGTACTTTATATCCAAATATTTTCCCTCTTGAACCATGCCATGTGCATGTGCAGATAGCTGAACTCCCCTTGTTCCAATGACATAAAAAAAAAATAAGACTCTCGAGGAAAGGGGAAAAAAGAACTTGCTGAAATAACACTTCTTTAGTTGTAAATGCACATCTATGTATATAGGTGTAAATATCCTCAAAGAGAAAAAGGAGTTCACTGTTTATTCTGTTCATCTTTTCTCCTAAAACTAAGATGTCAATGCCCAAAGTGTTACAGAAACTATATTCCACAGAAAAATAGTACATGTTAGTATTAAAAGGTGTGAATTCTGATCAGAGCTACCTAGTTGATCATTAATCTTTGCTTTTTGGTTTGTGATAGTTCTATTAACTTACCTAAATAAGTTTTAGAAATAATTATATGGTGGGAATACAGATTGGTGCAGCCACTGTGGAAAGCAGTATGGAGATACCTCAAAAAGTAAAAATGGATCTGCCTTTTGACCCAGAGATCCCACTTCTGGGAATATATCAAAAGGAACCCAAAACACTAATTCGGCAGAACACAAGCACCCCTATGTTCACTGCAGTGTTATTTACAATTGTCAAGATATGGAAGCAGCCCAAGTGTCCATCAATAAATGAGTGGATAAAACAACTATGGGACATTTACACACTGGAATACTACTTGGCTATAAAAAAGAAGAGAGTTTTACCTTCTGCAAGAGTATAGATGGATCTGGAGAACTATGCTAAGTGAAATAAGCCAGTCAGAGAAGGACAAAAACCATATGATTTCACTCATATGTGGAATCTAATGTATAAACTGAGATAACAAGCAAAAATACAGACAGACTCATTGATGCAGGATGATAGCCATGGGGTGGGGAATAGAGGGTGGGGGGGATTGAGCAAAATGGAGAAAGGAGTCATGGACATGGACAACAGTGTATTGATTTCAGGGGGTGGGTGCAGGAGGTATAAGGGGACTAAATGGTAAAGGA